TCGATGTATTCATATGCCTTATTGTCACATGACAAACTACAGTTATTGGAAAATAAATGCCGGTTTAGCTAACTGGTTTATTGAAGGGAGTGATAGTAGAAATGTAAATATCATTTAATAAGTGATATCAGATGAAACCTACTATTGTCTGAGCAATGGCAAAAAGTTTTGGAATTTTTAAAAAAAAAAATTTTTAAGAGAAGTGGAATATCACCCTCAAAATAGTACTGTTATTCTAAGAATGACTTTGTTATAGTTTTTTGTAAGTTTACATTGAAAAGAAACACATTTCTCTCCTAGAAATTTCAACCCCAAATAAATCGAATATTTTGGCTGAAAATTGTACTCTTAAAAAAATTTTTGAAGACATAATGTGTGCTTGTATTTATATTTTTACATGAACACAAAGACATTATATGACTAACAGTACTATTTTGATGTTGTTATTTCATTAATGTACATATAACAACAAAAAGTCAGGAAACGATGTTGGCAGAAAAATTTTAAAACCAGATGTACAGCAGAAATAACAAATGGCACTGAAATGTTTCTGTGCAAAAAAGTTTGTAGTATTCTAAAAAGTTGTTTCAATAGCATATTATTAAGCCCATTTCATCAAATTTTTTTTGATATTCGCTTTTCATGAGATTTTCATAGTACATACTAGATAATATGAAATGAATGGATACTGTTTCTTTTGTTGTAGGAAAGTTGTTCGTTATTTGTATGTTTATATAAATGTTGGTGTCACAGTCCTATAGCAGCCATGTCTTTATGTTATCTTAGTCAAAATTATCATCATGCTGCACAATTACTACAGACATTGTATCCTTTCAAACATAAGTTGGCCGTGGCTATTCGCACAGCGACGGTGTAAATATGGGCATTAAAAAACATACGGCCATCCCTACCTAACCCTAACAAAGTCACTTAATATCATTCTTGACAATCAAAATGGCTTCACGCTTTAAAAAACCCCAAAAACTAGCGTGCCTTTTGTGTACTATCTTATCCGTACTGTTGTTAGCAGCCATAGTGAACACGCATTGTGACGGTGCAAGTAGCCAATGCAAAATAAGTTTTTCTATAGTAGGCACTAGGCATATCAAAGGGAGGCTACTCTGTGACATTATTTCAGGTCACATTAAATTTTGTATTTGGTTGCAGAACAATGACTGAAAGGAGTTGCCTGTTTTCATGTAAATATAATTCTTGTAGAGTTTCTACTTTTTTAAGGCAGCTAAAGATTGATAGAAATAAAAAATGTGTTAAGACATCATGTGAAACAAACAACCAACCAAGACTGTACACATTAAAGATCTTATGATATTAAGAAAGAGTGGGTGCTGTATTGACCAAATTTCCCTCATTGCCAACTGCACAGTGTTTCCTTTTACTAGTAGGCTTACAATCAAGATATCAAAACTCCATTCATTTATCAGGATATAAAGCTTCATTTTATTCATTTATTTCTGAGTAAAATTATGCCCTTAATTCTAACATAGTGGTGATCTAGAAATAACAGTAGATTTTCTTAAAGAAATAGATAAACTTGTACAGTTAATAGAATCACCTATATTTGCATGTGAGTATAGTTTTACAGCTATTTGTATTGTATATATAGTAAATTGTATGATAGGAGTATTGGTTGTGTGGCAAGGTGCCCAAAATCTAAGGATGTACTTTGGCTTAAAATGCCAGTGTTTGTCCAGAATTTGCAAACTATTCCCAAAAACATCTTGATTTAGAGTCCTGCCTAGCTGTGCTCTATGTTTATGTTTGATGATCTTATTTGACTTGAAAAATACCCTTGTGATGCCCAAAATCTCCAAACTATTCCCAAAAATCTTATTGATACCCACAGTGACTTATTGTTTTTGTTTAACTATAACTTTAAGTATATAATAAAATGCTTCACACACTTTTGTCCAATATTTACAGCATTTACTTTTATCAAAGCATTAAAAAATTTGCACTGAGCTCACTAATTTTAACTGTATTTCAGATCTAAGGTTACAGTTATTAGATACAGAGAACAATCAAGATTTATTACATAGTTTATATGGGTTATTAATGATATTACCTCAATCAGAGGCTTTTAAATTATTACATTATAGATTAGAGTGTGTCCCTAAATATCATCCTTCTTTTAAATCAAGGTAAGTGTTTTAATAGTCTGGGGCTTAGACACTTTTTTTACTTTTGTCGGCAAATTATTCTTACCTTATCTACTCTAGATTTTCCGGAATAAGTTTTTCAGCAAAACAATTAAACAAGTCTGACTTTGTTGATAGCATTGTGGTACAGGATGTCTAATTGTATCAAGTTATTGAGCTCAATTTTTAGCCAATTTGTACCAAGGCCTAGAATAGTCCGAAACATCTGCCTCTATTCTTGCCTCTGAAAGCCTTTTTGCAGTGATGCCCCAGTTTTTTTTCTGACTCTACTCCAGCTGACTATTGTCAAAATAGCTATCAGAGGCTGGAATAGAGGCGGATGTTTTGAAATAGGCCTCTAAGAGACAGTATACTAAACTAAGTGCAGGAGAAATGGATATAGGATTTTCAAACTGTTGATAGTTGGAAGGAGGCAAATATTGAGAAACTGAACATCTGTATGGTTTATTATCTGGTAAAGCTAAAAATAAGATCTCTACTTTATCTTGATGTAATTCTGAATTTTAGTACCGGTAATAATACACATTCACAAAGAAAAGAACAAAGACCATTGGTGGCTAGAATAGATTTTAATAACCTGCTACAACACTTTCTTCATGTTCAATCAAAACATAAATTATTCAAAAAACAACAAATAGCATTAAAGTTACAATCTGTTAAAAAATTAGCCTTATGATCTTAGCTTTTATTTTATGTTATTTTTACCAAATTTTATTAATATTCCAATTTACAACTATTTCTGCCAAATTATATCATTATATATTCAATAGAACATCAATCACAAGATATTTTGGCGTAATTAATTCTTAATCAAAATTACTTTGAATGTTATTGCAATGGAATTTTATTGTTAAGATGTGTTTTAGTTAAGGGTTATATTGATATGAAAATTGTTTGTTTTTGTCATATATATTTCCAGTTATCTCTCCAACTTGTCTCTTAAAATGTCAAGTTTATACATGTCAGTTTTGAATCTTATCCTTGGGCAAATACACCTAATTTTGATCCTTTGGAGGCAGTGGCATTTTTTTAAAGCATTATGATTCCCTGGTTCCCAACCTGGGATGTTTTCACCCCCTGGGGGTGTGGGACTAGGGTGTCAGGGGTGTGGCCAACTGGTGTAGGAGAAGAATTTGTTTTGAATCAACACATGCTGGAATTATGGATGAAAGGTCCAGGTATGAAGGCTGAGAAAGATTGGGAACCACTGCATTAGGCGGGGGGGGGCCAAGTGGGGACCACATAATTGAAGAGGGGTGGGGCCAGTAGCACCAGGCATTTAAGAACTCATTGGTTTTAAATTTGAAATTGCGACAAGCAAACACCGGGCCAGCCGAATTAAAGTTAATGCACCAAAACTAGATATTCTGCCATGATTATGTTAAATTTTGTATATGTATCGGGGACACTGATAGCATCAATTTGCACCATTCCAATTTTTAATCAATCGTTTGTGATTCCTGCAATTCCACAAAAACTAAGTTTTTGAAGACATCACTGCAAAATATGATTTATCACATAAGACCCGTAGTGATTAATATGACATCACTAATGATAACAGTATCAATCTGCAATTTCAAGGGATGTATGTTGAAAACTCCAACACCTTTGAGATATCATATTTTGAAAATAAAAGTCATGCCATGATATAGATGTTTTTGAATATAGTTTGTAATTTGGTCTACACAACTCATTTAATATATTCCAATAGTATAATGCATTCCAAATCTAATGATTCCCATTGTATAGAAATAAGACCAGACCAATTTATTTTCTTGTTTTACAGATCTTCCTACCTCAATCTTCCAGAAATCAGGAGAAAAAAAAACCAAACCAATTTATTCCTTTTAAAAAAAAATTCATCATCAGAAACTTTTGTTATTAATAAGCGTTGATTAAATCAATAGTAAGAAAGTAGAAAAATCCAGGCCAGTCTTGGCTTTCAACATTTTTTTCTCATGCAAATTTGGCCTTTTTGCTTTGATTTTTTCCCCTCCTGCCTTCTTCAAGAAAATATCCATAAAACAAGAAAAATAAATTGGTCTGGCCTAATGTTGAATAAAAATCAAATCCAACATAATTCCCTGTGAAACCGTATAACTGTCTGAGCAAATTAAATAGTTTTTAAATTTTTTGATATTTTTAAAGAGAATTGGAATATCAGCCTCACAATAGTACTCATAGTCTAAGAATGTATTTGGGTTGATAAAAATATGCACTTTTATAAGTTTACATTGACAAGTAACTTATTTCCTTCCCAGAAATTTCAACTCCAATAAGTCACAAATTTTGGCTGAAAATGGGTCTCTGTAAAAGCAAATTTTGACGACATACTGTATGCTTATGTTAATATTTTTATCAAAGTAATGACATTCTAAGATTAACAGTACTATTTTGAGGCTGCTATTCCAATTCTCATAAAAATAATAGAAAAATTAAAAAAAACTTTTACTTTGCTCAGGCAATAATTATTTAATTAAGGTGCTGATTTAGATAAAGAGTTCTATATATTATGTGCAATATGTGTTAATATTAAGCTAATATGTAACCAGATCAGGCTTGTTTGTGCAATACTGTTATAATACTGCCTTAAGTATGTATTCTTCTTGTACAAATAGCATCATAAAATAACTCTTTAATAATTTTTCATTTCTGAAAATTGACGTAGTTTTTCAGCTCTCCAAAAGTTGAGAAAAAAGATCAGTTGTTTGCTATTTTGAGCAAAGTAAAAAGTTTTTTTGAACTTTTTCAATTTTTTTTTTATGAGAATTGGATTTGCAGCCTCAAAATACTTCTGTTAGTCTTAGAATGTCTTTGCATTGATAAAAATATCGCACATGTTATGTGTTCAAAATTTGTTTTACAGAGGACAATTTTCAGCCAAAATTTCAGACTTTTTGGGTTGAAATTTCTAGGAGAGAAATGAGTTTCTTTTTAATATAAACTTCCAAATTCAATTTTTATCAACGCAAAGATATTCCAAGACTAGCAGCACTATTTTGAGGCTGATATTTCAATTCTCTTTAAAGAAAAAGAAAAATTAAAAATAAAAACCTAATTAATATATCTTTTGTTATAAGTTATAGTGATATAGTCATCGAAATAATTACTTTATCAGCTGATAGAATTTTCATCTACCCTGTTACACTTTTCAGAATTAACATCCAACATCTGGTTATACTACAATTCTGTATACTGAGGAAGTTTTTACTCCATTTATTAGTCTTTGAAGTAACCATACTCTATTTTCCACAAGTTGCAGGAGAACCAAACATCAGATTTTATTTTTGAAAAGTGATACATTCTTGTGGCCATCATTTGATTTTTGGAAATCTAAAATCAAGATGATGGGTGTAAAAATTTAGGATAATGCATTTTGTTTACATATATGCTTCAGTATTAGATGTTGGCATCAGGATTTCATCTCTTCATTTTTCATATGAGGATGGGGCATAGCATAGTCGGTTATTCATTTTGATATCATTTCCTTGGTTACATCAAAACAAATGGTGGTTGTGGGTTCTAATCACAATCAGTGTGTGAAAGGTTGGTGACCTTCAGTTAGTACTCTTTCCTTATATTCCAATTTGACCCGGCTGTAAATGGATAGAGATAATCCAGGAAAAATCAATGCCAAGAGTGTTGGCCAAGGACCAGCTGGAAGAAAGGAAACTTGAGAACCTAAGCTGTTATCCTTGCCAAAATTTTCAAAAAAGCATACAATAGAAATAGAAAGAAATACCACAGTGTGTGCACTCTTCAAAAGAGATGACAAACCTAGGCACAGGGTGGCATCAAGTATCCTTGAAGAGTATAGTATGCCTCTATCTCTGTATTCTGGTAACAATGAGTAAAGATAAGTATTAGTATATAAAGATCAAGATATTTTTATAATAGTGTTATAAACTCACTAAAGTTGTATCGGACTATAATCATAATTATTATTAATATATGTCTCTGTATAACTTGCCCGGTAATATAGTCATTGCTTTTCACTTTTTGTACGAAATATTAAACCATAGAACCAAATAAATATTTGTTATTGTTACAATTTCATTTATGAATTGTGTTTCAATCTTGCTTGCTAACTTTAGTTAAAGCAGATCAGATCAAGAGATTGGTAAGAGTCAGAAAGTTGCAAGAAAGACAGAATGCGGTAAGGATTTTCACCATTTTACACATTACAGGGTTTGTAAAGAGGTTTTCTAAAAATAAATTATGTGTATCGGGGACACTAATACGACTCTTCCAATATTCGATTAGACGTCACTATTTGCCGAAGGGCCTTATGTGATAAAGCATATTTTTCAATTATTGACCTCATCAAATACTTAGTTTTAGTGGAATTGCAGGAACCATAGATATCTGAACAATACTAAAAATGTGTAATGTGTCCCAGATACACATACAAAATTTAGAAAACCTCTTTAAATGATCCGGTTACTATACAATTTGCTCCAACGTTTTTATTCTTTCATCTTGAAATTGCTTTCGGCAGCCGCGGTGGCTCAGTTTGTTAGACGCTTGCTCGCTAACCTGAAGGTCCAGGGTTCAATCCCGGCATAGGTCTAGTTAATACCTTCGGATTTTTCAACCCGGTTTCCCCCTGTCAGTGATGCAGGTAAGAGGGGCTGACATGGAAAAAGCGTCTAGTCGTTCGGATGGGACAATAAACCGAGGCCCCGTGTGCTACAGGCTGTGCACGTTAAAGATCCCTCGACAGTTGGAAATCGAAAAAGAGCAGGCTAATGCCGCTGTTCTGGCAAACATTTCCCTCATTGCACCCTGCATGGCGTTGCCCGTCTACATGCAGAAAAGTAGGACGTAAAACTCCATTCATTTCATTTTTTTTTAAATTGCTTTCATGTAAATAAAAGGAATCTGTTCTAATCCTATGTGTAGACAGATATTTCCGTGTGTAGATAACGATAATCAGTGAGAAAAAAAGTCATTCTTTTATAATTTAGTATACATAAAATATATATATGATATAATATAACAACAATGTTGACTACCTTTATACATTCAAAAATAATCTCAATTTGTTTATTATTATGCATATAATAAGAGTATAAGTTAATGGCCGAAAGCAGCCCAATAAGTTCAATAATGATCGTAACGTCATTATTGAGCGCATTGGACTGCTTGAGGACCATAATAATAATAGGTTAGGGTTAGGGTTTACAGATTATACAAACAATAACATCTACTCATGCACGTGCAATATTACAGGTCACATGAGATCTCACGTGCCATTACATACACATATTGAAACTTTTTCAAGCTGTCCGGTCAGAATTTATCAAAAATACTATGTAAATGTAAATAACATTCATATTTTATCGCTTCGTCATTCATTTCAATGATAAGGGGTGGTAAAAATGTATAAGCGATATCGATGATTATTTACATGCAAGCACATTCAGTGATTATTATTTTGTTAGGTATCTTGTTACATACCATTTTACACGAGACGGCCTGCCCTAAATATGTTTGATAAAGACACCAAAATTTAATTTATTTCTCCCCTTTCACAAATATCCACAATATTATAAATTTTCATGTTATTTGTCTTAAAATGTCTTTGGGTTCATAGAAATGTAATGTTTGCAAATTTCATATTTGAAAGAAACACGTCCATTAATTTTCGGTGAAACTGACTTTTCGGAACTGAAAATTTCCTTTTGTAAACTCATATTTTCAACTATAAAAGTTTTTTTTGAATTTTTCAAAATAGCACTGATAGTGTTAGAATGTATTTGTGTTGATAAAAATGGGCTCTGTTGTAAGTTTACATTGAAAAGAAACTCATTTCCGTCCAAGAAATTTCAACCCCCAAAAGTCACAAATTTTTGCTGAAAATGAGCCACTGTAAAAGCAAATTTTGAAGAAAATAATGTGTACTTTACTTTGCTCAATAATAATTTTTTAAGTCTAAGACTATTAGCCCTGTTTTAAAGTTATTATATTTTATACAACAATATTAGGCGAAATGCGATTCTGTAAACATAACGATCGGATACTAGAATTTACATTTCTAGTGGCCGAAACATCAGTCAATCATGAGTAAAATTCAGAAATAAGTCAACTCCACTTATTGTAAAATCACCCGAAGTGAGTATTTATCAATCATGTTATGAAGTCACAGTAGTCCAAAATTTGCCGCCATATTTTTTTAATAATATACTCGTGGCACAATGCCCGTACCAATAAGTTGGATATTGGTCCGCAAAGATCAAATGATGACGTCACATCTGTTTTTTTTAACTGTAGAACAGTGACATTTTTTATAAATATTATGAACATCTTTCAGATCACAAATAAAAAACACTGTCGTAGTCAACTTAAACTAGAACTGTAAACAGCTCCGGGCGTGGCAACGAGACCTTATCCAATCGGTTTCGGACCTTTTGAACTAAAAGCCATTTAGCTATCAACCCCGGTGCTTTTCAAGAAATTAAAACTTTTGGGTATCCGGTTTATAATCGAAGAAGGCGGTTAGCCGAAACAATCAACAATAATATATTTTTTAGAAAAATAGAGAAAAAAAAGTTATGCGTAAGGGCGGAAGAATTTTTTGAACGATTTTAAAATTAAAATCTGACGTTCTGTTTCATTCATTTAAATTGCTATCCTGATAAAAAAAATTTCAAATCTTTCAGTATCAAACAGTCATTATTGTATGTCATTTATCAACCTTACCGAATATTTAAAACAAATACCTTTTGGATTTTGAACGAAAATATTTTTAATTTCAGTGGTATATTTAATTATGTTTTTTGAGAAACTTTTTACAGAATTTCTTAATCTTAACGCATATGCATAAAAATATTTCAATAGCATTAAAGTAAATATTAAATATCTATGTTGAATAATACCATATTATGAAGCGATGAGATCATTAGATAATTTATTACTTTCCTTTAACATATACACGTCCCACTTTCAGCCATCAAATAAAGACGAACGTATTACTTCAGAAAGGGGTACAATTTTAAACATTTCTGTAAATCTCTATGTTCATACCCGTATAAAGGAGGTATCCGAAAGTTTACAAATAAATTAAACCTTTTTAAAATTTTTTGTCCATAGTTGCAGAATAGATTTCTTTAAGATGTTTTAAGTGGTATTAAGTGATGTATATCTTCTCCCCCTTTTAACAAAATAGACTTTCCCGACTTAGACCTGCTGAAGGACGTTATAGAAAAGAAAAATGGAGACCGCCCTCTTTTTAATGTAAGTATCTTTGCCTCCTTTTCTTGATCAATATGCAGGGATAAAGAGTCTTATACCTTGATTGCAATATGCACCTTTCTTTTATCTCAGAAGTTTGTGAGTGCCACAATTTGATTGGATTGTACGTAAGCGAAGACAGCCAATCAGAGTCCTCGTCCTAAATAATGATTATGTTGAGCGCTCTGATTGGCTGTGTTCCCTGGAGTAAAATCCAATTAAATCACTGTATTCCGCACAAGAAAGGTGGCTTTTGCAGTCAAAGTATAAGTAAGAAGGTAATATCTTGGCATTGTGAAGATGTTTCTGGTTACTACCGTGCACTCTAATTGATTATGGATATGATAATGGATTTACTCCAGACACTATAGATCTCCCCGAGTCGTAGTTATATCTGAAAAAAAAAATGAAAAGAAGTTTTACGTCCTACTATTCCGCTCTTGATTGGGTTAACTGTTTAGGTTAGCCTTACTCAATGAGAGAATTTATGCCAGGGCAGTGACATAAGCTTGCCCTGGTGCTATTCTAAAACGAGGAAGGATCTTCAAATTGTACAGTCTGTAACACAACATCTTAAACCGCGAAAGATGGCTATTGCAGTCAAGGTATCAGGCGAAGTTTTTTACAAGATAAAAAATCAGGCGAGTTTATTGTACTTGACATTGTGAAGATATTAACACTCATGGTTTTGGTTAGTTGAAAGTTACTAATCTTGTATTCTATTTGATTACTTATAATTCGATTTTGGAATAAAATCAACCAATGAAAGTCCTTACAATTTTTATTTACGATTATTCTAAATTTGTGATGTTTTTGACAACAAGCACCCTGGACAACTTACCTGGGGTAGTAGGATATCGGTAAAGATTGTCTACCAGTAGATCGAATGTCGTCAGTTGATCTGAAATTATAACAAGCAGTTTTTTAAAAATGCAAATAGTCACACATTGAGATTCTTTTCATATTTTGACGTTCCTCATATTGACATACACATGCAATCTTTCATTGATTTTGTGTCACATCTGCGATCTCAGTTCATGCCCTTGACAGCGATGCAGGTCTGAAATGGCATGGAAAAGGCGTCTAGTCATTCAAATGGAACAATAAACCGCCCTGGCAAAATTCGTATATGACATGGCGATGTCCGTCTTCATTAGCCCAATCAAGTGCAGACATGTTGGAGCGATTGAATACGTACCCGTCTTTAGTTTTAGTTTTCCTACACACCACAAATAATACTAAGATAAGAATTAGTGGTATAAAAGCAGCCACTGCAGTGATTGCTGATATTGCCCCAGCCCAAGATGCTTTCCCGGTAGTTGTCGTTTCTTGCTCAGTTATTGTTTCTTGTTCAGTACTTGTTTCTTGCTCAGTAGTTGTTTCTTGCTCAGTTGTTGCTTCTTGTTCAGTAGTTGTTTCTTGTTCAGTGGTTGTTTCTTCCTCAGCTATTGTTATTTGTTCGGTTGTTGTTTCTTGTTCAGTAGTTGTTTCTTGTTCAGTAGTTGTTTCTTGTTCAGTGGTTGTTTCTTCCTCAGTTATTGTTTTTTGTTCGGTTGTTGTTTCTTGTTCAGTAGTTGTTTCTTGTTCAGTGGTTGTTTCGAGCCCAGTAGTTGTTTCTTGTTCAGTAGTTGTTTCTAGCTCGATAGTTGTTTCTTGCTCAGTTGTTGTTTCTTGCTCGGTTGTTGTTTCTGGCTCAATAGTTGTTGATTGCTCGGTAGTTGTTTCGACACTAGTTGTTGTTTCTGGCTCGATAGTTGTTTCTTGCTCAGTTGTTGTTTCTACACCAGTTGTTGTTTCTTGCTTGGTTGTTGTTTCTAGACCAGTAGTTGTTTCTTGCTCAGTAGTTGTTTCTAGTCCAGTAGTTGTTTCTTGCTCAGTAGTCGTTTCTGGCTCAGTAGTCGTTTCATGCTCAGTGGTTGTTTCTAGCCAAGTTGTTGTTTCTGGCTCTGTAGTTGTTTCTAGCTCGATAGTTGTTTCTTGCTCGGTTGTTGTTTCTGGCTCAATAGTTGTTGATTGATCGGTAGTTGTTGTTTCGACACCAGTAGTTGTTTCTTGCTCAGTTGTTGTTTCTACATCAGTTGTTGTTTCTTGCTCAGTAATTGTTTCTTGCTCAGTTGTTGTTTCTTCTTCGGTTGTTGTTTCTAGCTCAGTAGTTGTTTCTTGCTCAGTTGTTGTTTCTACATCAGTTGTTGTTTCTTGCTCAGTAGTTGTTTCTTGCTCAGTAGTTGCTTCTTGCTCAGTAGTTGTTCCTTGCTGAGTTGTTGTTTCTAGCCAAGTAGTTGTTTCTTGCTCAGTAGTTGTTTCTAGCCCAGAAGTTGTTTCTTGCTCAGTAGTTGTCTCTAGATCAGTAGTCGTTTCTAGTTCAGTAGTCGTTTCATGCTCAGTGGTTGTTTCTAGTCCAGTTGTTGTTTCTTGCTCAGTAGTTGTTTCTTGCTCAGTAGTTGTTTCTTGCCCAGTAGTTGTTTCTTGTTCAGTAGTTGTTTCTAGCTCGGTTGTTGTTTCTTGCTTAGTAGTTGTTTCTGGCTCAATAGTTATTTCTGGCTCAATAGTTGTTTCATGCTCAGTTGTTGTTTCTACACCAGTTGTTGTTTCTTCCTCAGTAGTTGCTTCTAGCCCAGTAGTCGTTTCATGCTCAGTAGTTGTTTCTAGCCCAGTTATTGTTTCTTGCTCAGTAGTTGTTGATTGCTCGATAGTTGTCTCTTGCTCGGTTGTTGTTTCTGGCTCAATAGTTGTTGATTGCTCGGTAGTTGTTGTTTCGACACCAGTTGTTGTTTCTGGCTCGATAGTTGTTTCTTGCCCAGTTGTTGTTTCTACATCAGTTGTTGTTTCTTGCCCAGTAGTTGTTTCTGGCTCGATAGTTGTTTCTGGCTCGATAGTTGTTTCTTGCTCAGTTGTTGTTTCTTGCTCAGTAGTTGTTTCTGGCTCGATAGTTGTTTCTAGCTCAGTAGTCGTTTCATGCTCAGTGGTTGTTTCTACCCCAGTTGTTGTTTCTTGCTCAGTAGTTGTTTCTTGTTCAGTAGTTGTTTCTAGCTCGGTTGTTGTTTCTTGCTCAGTAGTTGTTTCTTGCTCAGTAGTTGTTTCTAGCTCAGTAGTTTTTTCTAGCTCAGTAGTTGTTTCTAGCTCGATAGTTGTCTCTTGCTCGGTTGTTGTTTCTGGCTCAATAGTTGTTGATTGCTCGGTAGTTGTTGTTTCGACACCAGTTGTTGTTTCTGGCTCGATAGTTGTGTCTTGCTCAGTTGTTGTTTCTACATCAGTTGTTGTTTCTTGCCCAGTAGTTGTTTCTACATCACTTGTTGTTTCTGGCTCGATAGTTGTTTCTTGCTCAGTTGTTGTTTCTTGCTCAGTAGTTGTTTGTGGCTCGCTAGTTGTTTGTGGCTCGAAAGTTGTTTCTCGCTCAGTAGTTGTTTCTAGCTCAGTAGTCGTTTCATGCTCAGTGGTTGTTTCTACCCCAGTTGTTGTTTCTTGCTCAGTAGTTGTTTCTTGCTCAGTAGTTGTTTCTTGTTCAGTAGTTGTTTCTTGCTCAGTAGTTGTTTCTAGCTCAGTAGTTGTTTCTTGTTCAGTAGTTGTTTCTAGCTCGGTTGTTGTTTCTTGCTCAGTAGTTGTTGATTGCTCAGTAGTTGTTTCTTGCTCAGTAGTTGTTTCTAGCTCAGTAGCTGTTTCTAGCTCGATAGTTGTTGATTGCTCAGTTGTTGTTTCTTGCTCGGTTGTTGTTTCTGGCTCAATAGTTGTTGATTGCTCGGTGGTTGTTGTTTCGACACCAGTTGTTGTTTCTGGCTCAGTTGTTGTTTCTTCATCAGTTGTTGTTTCTTGCTCAGTTGTTGTTTCTTGCTCAGTAGTTGTTTCTAGCACAGTAGTTGTTTCTTGCGCAGTAGTTGTTTCTTGCGCAGTGGTTGTTTCTAGCTCAGTAGTTGTTTCTTGCTCGATTGTTGTTTCTGGCTCGGTAGTTGATAGCTCAGTTGTTGTTTCTTTTTCGGTGATCTCAAAATCTACGTTAACTGGTATTGACAACAATAACCCGTCATCAACGGACATGATCAAACTAAAGTTGCTTAGTTCAGCTAAGTCGTATCCTGCCCGCACTGAAAACTTCTTTGCTGAAAAAAAAAATGATGTATTTGAAAGTTGAAATGAATATTTAATTGATATAAATAAATGACAATATATAAAAAAAAATTACTGGAAAAATGTGACTAATGGACGCTTTCTATGCAAGAATATTTTTAAAATTTAGATATTGATGACCATTGTGACAAGTATGTAAATTTGAACTCACGAGTCGCATCGAAGGTGAAATAGGACGAAACGTTTGACGGGTCGTAGGTGATATGCAAAGTTAACGTATCACCATCAACATCAAATGTCTCTGCCGTGTAGATAACGCCTTGTGCATTAGATGCCACTTGTACGGGCGACGTTGGTACATTTACAAAGATTGGCGCTGAGTTGCTGGCTGAAAAACATGTAACATTCCGTTAGCTTTACAATAATAACTACTGTGGCGGGTGTATATAACGAGCCAAGGTATGCGTACTGTATCAGAGCCCTTGAACACCACTCTGCGACTGAGTTCATCAATATAGGTATTCTAATCGGAGAGTTCACTTGCCCGATGGGTTTCAACTATTTTTTTCTATTATCGATTGCTGGATCCTGAAAACAATTTCCATGCTAGGTTACAAAGTGCTTCATTACAGCGCCTGACCTTAAGTATGATTGTAGATATCAGGCCTACTAGTCAGTCTGCCGATTTAATGAAGTCTTTCTATGGTCTATTTCTATAAAAGTCTAAAATTGTGCAAGCCCAACCAAGAAAACTTACCGTTAATGCACAAGCCTTTGTAACACCACTGAAATGGAAGAACCAAATCTATGTCGTCTAAGGAATAGCTTTGCAGGATGGAGGGGCGTATAACTACATTCGTACATGTGGAAATCTTGTGATAAGTGCTAAGCTCGATCAAGATCTATTGACACGACTATTGGTTAGTACGATGATTGTTCTCGCTCATGTTCTCTTTTGACACAATTTGATTGTAGACAAACAGAGTGTCAGAAGTTCAAATCTAAAATTGCCATGGACAATTGAAATTTTAAGCCAAATCTTTTACATGATAAAGACTAAGATCTGTATGTACAGAATAATTCTGACGTAACATTCGGAGACGTCCACAATCAATAGTTCAAGAAATATATCTACAGACCTTGTTCGTATCGCAAGTTGAGTACTCCATAAACTCGACAGGGCCACACGTATTTCCTCCTTCATTCAAACAATAGGCAAGGTAACACATTTTGTCCGTGTCATTTTGATACAATTTCAATCTCTGAAAAGAAATACATGCTAAAATCATAATGCGTTGTTGAAAACTCTGAAGTAAAACCATTAGGATAACACAATCTAAAGAAACGTTATGCAGAGAAGTCACTCTAAAGTCAGACAAACTTTAAATTCATCCATTTGGGAAAAGACACTCTAAAGTTAGTTACATCAAGCACATCTGACGCTCTCGCGCACAAAACTCACACCGTGCGGACACAGCAGTTATAAGTCCTCACAATTTAGAGACAGTACTTTACGTGGTTAAGGCCCACCAAATGCAATGTTGCATATGAGGCAACTCGGTCACTACAGTCACACACTCTAATGCCATGCAGATAAGGCATTATCCGAACATCTAAAGTCACACCCCACAGATTATGGCAATCTCAGGTTACGTTATGCGGATAGGTCACCCTGAGAAAACAATGGGCAGAGAAGTCGCAATTAGTCATTTTGTGCTAGGAACCGTGCCATTTGCAGTTGAAAAACCTAAATGATACTGATATTTAGATCCAAATATTTTATGGCCCCTGAATTACTCACGTCGCAAAATCTCGAATCTTCACCTTTTAGCATTTTACATTGAGTGTCCTTATCGTAATACTGACCAGCTGTTTCAGTTGTTGTTACTACACCATTCCCGTAGCGGTTATCATCCAGACAGTCCACGTCGGCTCTGAAAATTATGAACTAAGAGTTGGCTAATGTGGACCCTTCATGTAAAATTAGGGAAAATAATTCCAGTATTACGGATTGCAAGACTTAACGTTACTAAATTTAATTTCGTCATTCTGTCAGATATCTTCACAATATCAAGGCATTGCGAACTTCTTCTTATACCTTTCCGCCTTTCTTGTATATTACGAAACGCGGCGACTTGATTGGATTGTACGTAGTAAATAGTCATTCATAGCCATTTAGGCATAATGTCTACATTCTTTCTGTCGAGGACTCTTAATGGCTGTATTCGCAAACATACAATCCAACCATATCACTACATTTACTAACTTCTGAAAGAAGGATTTCGCTTAAGTGGGGAGGGAGGGGTGCGGGGTTTCTACGTTGATTATTTACGAGTGAGACTCTAAACCTGTTTTGTAAACATCTTTACGCGTTAGTTCCTCAGTTGTACCAACCTTTCCACAAAATCTTTTATATCTCTAACAGAGCAGGCAGAAAATTGCCATGGACGCCTGGCCATTTCTGAGTCTGTAATCGAGCTAATGGATGTTGCCATGATGTACTTATCTGCATCATTGCATCCAACGGTTGTGTCGTGTAAGGCACTTAATCTACAAAATGAATTACACTGTAACAAAATAAAGGGATCAAACGAAGCTAGACACAAGACAAAACAAATCTGTTGATCAAAAATTCAAAGGAATATACTTATAGTTATACATATAACCATATGTTAGAGCCTTGGTTCGCAACCTATGTGTCGCAAAGCACTTTTCTTTGGGACGCAGACTTTTGAATGGTAACCATTTTTTGGCGGTATTATATAATTGCCTGTTTTGGCTCGAAATTGGCAGTTCAAATGCACACCAACAGCACCTCTACAATTTTTAATCAGATGGTCTGTGGTTCCTGAAATTCTACTAAAACTGAGCGTTTTATGACATTACTAATCATATATCATTTAATGACGATAAGTGACGTCATAAAACGATTGGTTTTTGTGGAATAAAGGAACCACAGACGTCTGATTAAAAACTGAAATGGTGCCAATTGTGGCTATCAGTGCCTCCGATACACATACAAATTTAGAAAACCTTTTTACAGTACCTTTAAAATCACGTGGCAAGTGGTAAGACATCAGTAAAGTAAAGTGGCCCTCCTAGGACGTCACAGGAAATCGATCAATTCATTACCGAGGTCGAATTTGTTTATGGAAACGGTAGAGAATTGCTTGAAAAAGTACTTACGCATGGCCCATTTCATGAGCACCAATGATGGCCGTCCTAGCGCCTTGCTGGTCTTCTACTACAGACGTACTTCCCTTCATCCGAACATTTGTACCCCTGAACACATAGGAATCTGCTATGCACATAATCTTGGTATAGGCAATTCCTGTAACAAAAACAAGAGTTTTATTGAAGTTTGATTTAAGTCACATTTTGGGAAAATTACTTTACATAAACTTTACGGCATTTGAAAACCTTGAATCATCCTCGCTATTCCATTCGACCCAGCTGTAAAGGTATTCTAAGAAAGATCAATGCCAAGAGGTTAGCAGCAGTTGGATAAAAGTATCCTTGTGAACTTAAGTTGTTGAATTCGCTATTTGGGTCTCTCAATCATGGTCACTGTATTCTCTAGCATGATTGTCCATGCCTAAAAAGCCGTTTGGAGTGTTTCTAACGGCAGTATCGATTACGGTTTGGGAAATTTAAGATTAGCCTTATTCAGCTGGATTAACAAGCGTGGAACACGTTTGCCTCGGGCTTGGGCATGTTAAACAATCGACAGTTGAAAAGATGTACAGAGTTGGATTATATCACCGATTATATTTCCATCATTGCACTCCACATGGCAGACTTTTCTCATTCTGTTTCTTTTATTTAGTTTCATACGTCAGTCGGTACAACAAAAGTTGTAACTATGTCTTCGTTTCGAATATCGCCACGCAGCACACATTGGCTCACACATTGACTGTATGATGGCGAAATATCGGATATATTGAACCCTACCTAAATTTCCGTCGCTTCCATTTTTGGCTAGGTTGTATCTGAAATTGAACATCATTCATATATTCAAATTATTGTAAATTTGGTACTTCATAAAGACATTTTCGTAGCGAGTACAAATCTTACTCCATTAATCATTTACGGAACGAGTCGAAAAATGAAACCAGGCGTTCCGTATGGTAAAGAATCTACGACGAGAATACCCTTGGAAAAGAGATTATCCATACCCCTCTTCTATGCGGACAGTTCCGTGGACAGTTGATAAGCAAGGGGTACTTTTGACCGTCCGTTGTAAAGTGGTCGGGTCCACAACGTTGCAAGCAGCATACCGACTTACCCAGTGAAGAACATGTAGTGGTCGCTTGATGGAAGTACGATACCAGGCGGAGGTGATTCCATCCAGAATTGAGTTGCGTTGAGTGCCGCGTCAACGTCAACCTTATTACCCTCTTTAAAGGGTTCGGTGTACGAGGAGTCGGCTCTGGTCTGAAAAAGGCAGTGTTAAAGAAGGATTAGGCTGATATATTTCGAGACCATGTTTCCTGCACAATCAAGATCCCTTCATTGTATACTACATGGCGTAATATTGACGGTATTGATATCACGTAATATTTTAATAGTTACCTCTATAATGATGAGACCGGAATAAACAATGTTAAAGGCAATTGTCCCGTCCACCTCATTGATATGGTGAAACCGAACCTTCATCTGCAGATAAACAAAATTATAAGTAAACTGGTAATTGGATTACAAGGAGGATGATTTGAAAGGTTATCCTGGTGAAAAGAGAGCAGGACGGCGACGACGAAGGGGAGGAAGAGAAGGGGGGTTTTGAGAAATAAGAGGAGGTAAGGAGCTAGTTTGGAGGAGGAGAAGGAAGAAGAAAAGGAGGAAAATAGGGGGTCTGTTGGAGGAGGATGAAGTTGAGAAATAGGAGGGGAGGAAGAGAAGGTGGAGGAGGACGGCGACGACGAAGAGGAGGAAGTTGAGGAGAGAGGAAGACGGGGATCAAGTAAGGAGAGGGTCTGTAGCAGGAGGAAGTTTAGGAGGTAAAGAGGTTGCTGGAAAAGGAGGAGGAAGATGAAAAAGACGGAAGGAGGATGAAGAAGGGGTACGGAGGGGCTCTGGGCGAAGGGGAGGAAGATGGGGGAAGAGGAGGAGGAAGTCTAGAAAGACGGGGAGGAGGATGTTGAGGAAGAGGAGGTCTGGAGGGGAAGGAGGAAGTTGAGCAAGAAGATGGGGAGGAGGTAAGGAGGTGGTCTGATGGAGGAGGAGGAAGAAGAGAAGGAGGGGGAAGTTGGGGAAGAATGGGAGGAGGAGAATGAAGTTGAGGAAGACGAGTCGGAGGAGGTTCGGGAAGACGGGGAGGAGGATGTTGAGGAAGAGGAGGTCTGGAGGGGAAGGAGGAAGTTGAGCAAGAAGATGGGGAGGAGGTAAGGAGGGGGTCTGATGGAGGAGGAGGAAGAAGAGGAGGAGGGGGAAGTTGGGGAAGAATAGGAGGAGGAGAATGAAATTGAGGAAGACGAGTCGGAGGAGGTTCGGGAAGACGAGGGGGGGGTCTGGTGGGGGAGGAAGAGTCTTACCGTCAACACCATGCAATGTGCAGTGAGGGGAATTTTGCCTCGACAGCTGTATCAGCCTTCTCTTTTTCGATTTCCAACTGTCGCTGGATCTTTAAATGGAAGAAGGAAATAAGTGGGAAGCCGAGGAGGAAGTTGAGGAAGAAGACGTGGTAAGGAGTGGGTCTGGAAGAGGAGGGAGAGGAAAAGAAGGGAGGGAGGAGAATCAGGAAGTAGAAAAACAAGAGGGGGTAAGGGGGCTGAGCAAGAGAAGGAGGGTAAAAAGGAGGAGGAAGATGGTGGTGATGAATTTAATTAGGAGAATGACGTAAACATTATTTAATATCTATCTATTATGCAAAATCATCGATCGCAATGTGAACACGTACCTGCTCCGCTATAAAAGCATAGTGATTCCTCATGTCGGCCTCAGCTTTGACTGAATCGTTGTTATTTCTCTCCAAGAAACTGAAAATCGTAAATTAATTGGATGACTTGTGGATCCACAAACAGAAAGAACATGAAAGAAAAGCTCCTGTATTTATATCAGATTTTTACTTTACTGGTTGATGTTTTGTGGATCGACTTCTTATGGGTTATTGATTTATGGATTGCTATTTGGAAGAACGTTTTGTTTTTATTCATGAAAAATAAGAGTGTGTACTTAGAAAAGGCTTGATAATCCGCTATAAGACAGGTTTCCACAATGTAGACTCTCAGTGATCTTTTGTGTCTATGATGTGCCTTGTGTTCTTCGTACATATCTGAAAAAGAATAAACACTTTAAGTACCGTTGCAAAAAAAAAGGAAAAAAAAAAATGTCCGTAATTTTCCACAAAAAAAAATGTATCAGCAAGTAACTGTTTAGGCTTGATTTGAGACCTTCGGGATGGACACCTAGGTTCTCTCATGAGAGAAACATCGAGAGTGAACTGATAAACACTATCTCCCTTATTAGAATAATTGTTACCTTGAAATCTTTGTATCAAAGTCTCTTGTCGAATTATTTCATGGACTGTTTCTGAAGTAGGTTCTATGTGCACCAACCGCAAACCAATTTGGAAATGCCCCTCCTGAAAAACATTCAGGAATGCCTTATATAAAAGTTGTTTCGTGATCATTAAAAAACAGGAGATTCAATACTTGCGATATCTATATGAAGTATAGCACATTTCGTGTTGACGCTCCGAGAGCGTAAGATTGCAAAAAATACAGAAAGGCACAAAGCTCTTTTTTTATGGCCTTTTGACCTTATGCTGTTACGGTATAATGGACGGAATGCTCACTATAGTATAATTACTGGACGAATATGAAGATCTTGTTACTAAAAGAACAGCTTTGGTACTGTAGTCGACATAACTGGCTTTATCCTGAAATATATTGAATTTGGTACTTTGAAGCTATTGAATTTGGACTGAGTGCGCCTTACACTCGTGTATCGAGGCCCCCATTTGTGATTTTAATTTCATGGTAAATTTGATGGTAAATATTGCCAGTAAGTTTTGAAAGTAAATTATCTATATATGCGTCTAATAATCGGAATTATACGTTATATTATTATATTACCTCTCTGGAATGAGTTAAAGGATAGATTTCACCTTCCTTATAGGCAATTGTTTTCAGAAGAGGTATCTTCCTTAAACGCAATACAGCCACTTCATGATCTCGTCGTATGCGGAATACAAGATTACTCGGCATTTTGGCCAGGGTACTCCATGAAGAATTTGTTTCTTTAGTACCATCTTCGACGAGGAGTTCTATAGTAACTTGCGTGGACGCTTCTGAAATAGAAATGACACTGACAATTCATTTCTTATAAATACATTTTAAACAAAAGACTCACTCTTGTTTTTTTTCTGTAAAATTGTGAAAATGAAATTTCTGTTTGAGGATTAAATTTTTAAAAGTACTGGAAACATATATACTTGTACATGTATTGTCATCTTGATCCATTATGATTTTTTATTTGTTATTGCTACAGCAACATAGCATTCTTATGATTTAAGACAAATATCCCCATGTCATTATTGTGTTTAATCAACCGGCCACATTGTTACATAAGATAGCTCGCCAGGTAAGGTAATATACGCCCACTGGCAGCTTTGATTTTGAATAAAAAAATATTTGGCAGAACAGTAACAATCACTAGTAAGAAATATTCAACATTCAGCCCTACACTTCTTTTGAACCTTTTAAGGCGATATTGAATAATATTACCAGGTTTCATCAAAAACTGCCAAGAATTGGGCCTTCTAGGGTGTTTACAGGCTAAAACTTGAACGCGTTTTTAAGAACAAGTTCAATAACTCATACTAAATATATTTTTCAAAATTTCAGATTTATAATTGGGTCCATCCTTAGGTGATTACAAACACTCACAAAGTTTTGTCAAAATCTGTCAATAATTGAACCTTCTAATAACGTTTACGAGCTAAAAATTGAACGCGTTTTCGAGAACAAAGGCAATAACTCATACGAAATATTTTTCGATTTTTCAGATTTTAAACAAGGTTCATCATTGGGTGATTACAAACACTCACATCATGTTTCGTCAAAATCCGTCAAGAATTGTGCCTTCTATATATAGAGTGCTTACGTGCTAAAAATTGAACGCATTATCAAGAACAAGGACAATAACTCATACTAGTTATTTTTCGATTTTTCTGATTTTCAATAGGGTTCATCCTTGGGTGATTACTTATACTCATACCAAGTTTCATCAAAATCCCTCAAGAATAATTGCGCCTTCTTGAATGTTTACGAACAAGGGCAATAACTCATACTGAATATTTTTCGATTTGTCTGATTTTCAATAGGGTTCATCCTCGGGTGATTACAAACAGTCATACCAAGTTTCGTCAAGAATTGCACCTTCTAGAGTGTTACGAGGACGGGTGGACGGACGGACGGAAATGGATGACGGCAATATACGCCCCCCCCCCCCCTCCCCATTTAAAAAAGGTATAAAAAGGTGTAGCAAAGGCATAAGAATTATCAATCTATTTAAAAAGCACTGTGTAAATAGGAAAATTTTGCGCGTAGTATTACATGTGTGCCCGTCGTAGTCTTATTTTTAACATTCAAACGCGGATAATTCTTGACACACATGGACTTGATGGTGACAATGAGCTGTTTCTGAAACTAGTTGAAGTATATTGATTCATGGTGATGCGACATTATATGATATCCTGCTCGACGGGATTAGATGAAAATTGAACTGATCATTGGCGGCTATAACAAACATATTGAATGACACAAACTTAAAGGGGCATTATGCAATTTTTTCACTATACAAATCGTCGTATATTATACCTGAAAATATCTTAAAATATGCATTTTATACGCTCACAAGAAATGTGGAGCCTATATTGGCCTATTCTTGACGGATTTAGACGAAAATTTGTAGAATTGTTTATTATCATCAAGGGTGCACCTTATTGAAAATTAAAAATAAACACTAAAATTCTTGCCCGATTTTCACAAAACTTGGTAATATTGTGAAGTATCACCTCAAAAAGTTCAAAAGAAGTGTAGGCTACGACTGAAGGTTTGAATATTTCACACTGGTGATTGTTACTGTACTGCCAAATATAATTTTTTTTTTAAATCAAAGCTGCCATTGGGCGTATATTACCTTGCCTGGCAAGATATCTTACTAGTGGTATAGTATATAGTTTTAATCATTTTGAGCAAGAAAAAAATATATATTCCAGTTAAATGCTCCATTAACTGGCTTAAAATATTGGTCTATGAGGCAATTTGGTTTTTTATTTTGAGGCCATATATTATATATTCGTAGGCCATTCAATATTCGTTTTTGATATTTCACCAATTTTAGTTACATAAAGTGACAGATTCAGAAACGTGAATTGTTCCGCTAAACTAATCAGTAATATAAAGATAAGACATTATAGAAATAGATAGTAGAATTCCTAGTTTGAGGTAATTTTGAAGGAATTATGCGACATTGCATTTCTATTACTTCTGAAGACTATTTACATATTTTCAAGACCCAAATCACCCCCGGAAAATGGCGAATCTCTCCCTTTAATCTCTTCTTTAAAAAATCAGTATTCATTGTTAAATATATAATTCGTTAAAAAAAAATGTATAGGAATTAATCATAAAAATTTCAATCAAACTTGAAACAGTTAAACTATCCTGTAAAGTACTAATTTGTAAATAAAATCTTCATCAGTACTAAAAATACTACTTGAAGGTTGTCATTGTATCTCCATAGTTCTTTATTTGGCCTTGATTGTGCGAACCACTTGAGTCAAAATCTTAGATATGATCAAGGCTCGTTCATCCCATGTTCATTTCAGTTCATCCCATGTTCAGTTCATGTTCACCATGGACTTACCTGTAGTCACTGTCAGAAAAAAAGATAACAACAACACGAATCGTAATATCCAAACCATTTTTTTATTGTTTTCGATAAAGCGTCTGGAAACCATTTGTTAGGAATATCGCACAAGCTGGGGCACTAATATTCTTGTATACAACATAAAGTGAAAAATCTCAAATTTTTTCAGTTAGCATGTTATCCATCAAAAATAGAATGAAAGAAAAGGGACTTTCCCTTTCAACGATTAGGAAATTTGATTACAGGTGTGTCTATCTTTTATAAAGCTACAAACATACGAATACCAATGTGTTTTATTTGATACAGGATAAGGTTTTGAATGAGGAATGAGGAAGTTTTTTTGGACATAAAACAGGGTGTGTCGCTGTTATGCATTGGATTTGTTTTTCTATAAAATCGGAAAAGAAAAGATAAATGCCGCTGTCCTGGCAAACGTTCCCTCATCGTACATGACATGGCGTTGCCCGTCTTCATTAGTCCAATCAAGTAAGAAAAGTAGTTGATAATCCCTACCTACGATCGTACACGTACCCGTCTTTAGTTTTAGTTTTCCCACACACTGATATCACCAGTATTTTTCTTTCCAAATTGATAATTTTGAGGCGACATATCTGAAGTGTAATTGTTATCGAAATGTCAATTCTTTTTTTTTTTGTGGGACTTTGCCTCTAGTTATATACTTTTAATTACCAGATACCCGAGACATTTAATTTCTTGTTCTCTAAAAGCATCGGGGTTGAAACAGGCTAAAAGTTCCAAAAGGTCTAAAAGCCATAAGATAAGGTCTCATGCCACGGTTGGAGCTGTTCACAGTTCTAGTTACTCTTTTGTATTTAACAAGGCACATCTAATTTAAAATGTATATAAAAATCGAATCCAATGATTTACAATCAACAATTATGTGATTCATTCATTTACAATAATCAGAATTATGACAAACAATAAATTAAAATATTTAATAAGGCACAGTCTATTGCCATACATGTACCAATAATACCAAACAAATAACATAAACAATGACTCAAAATTCAAACCATAAACACTGACATATTTTGGGGGGTTAATGGCTGTGCTAGACTGATTAATTGTTATATTTTATCTATATCATAAGTCAAAATGAATCCCATGCGGACATGTTTTTGATAAAGTTATTTGCAAATAACATTTATATACAGATCATTAGGATTACTCCCACAAATGAGATCATTTTAAGTACCTCATTAACTTTCTAACACATTCAGGATTTACCGATTTGACAGAATGTTAAATAAGTTCAGAATAAGTGCCAAAAAAAAATTGTAGATACAGAAATGGCACAGAAAGAAATAGATAGAAAAATATGGAATGTGACATATCTGCTTTCATACCGTTGAATTGGGGGCAGAATTGGAACAGACAAAACCTGTTCAGAACTCTTCTAATCTAGTGCCATAACTGTTGCTAATACATATATACGTGGAACAATAAGTTAAGCGCCACTAACTTATTTCAGTATAATCTGGGACGTCCTGTATGTCCGTAGAGATCCTCCTGTGCAAACTGTAACAGAGTTGGATGCAGCATTGCATCAGGAGTGGCAGCTAATTCCTCAACAGGACATTCAAAGACTGATGAAAAACAGATACTTTGCATTTGGGGCTATAAAGACAATATAATGTACGATCATCCACTTCCTGTTGTTGATTTTTTTACAAATACATATTGTTTTCAACATTAGGTCCCAAAATATATATCTCTGTTATCAAGTATGATTGTGAATTGCATTCATTTGCGAAACAATGGTTCAAACTCTGGTGGCGCTTATCTTTTTGTTCTAGGTATATTATATCAAACAGATCACTTCAATTCCAAAATTCAGATTCTCTTCTTTCGGGAATTGATTATCAAATATTTTCTTAAAATAATAATAAGCTTTTCTAAAAATGACTTATTATGGATTTTCTATCCATACAAATACACATTCGTTGTACTTATGCACCATAAATGAAACAAACAAAACAAACGAATAATAAAACACATAATTGCACTATAATCCCTCTTTCTCTGAACTTGGTCTCCATTGTGTTCCCATTTGATAGGCAAATAAAAAATATATTCCAGCTAAAACACCTATTAATGCTCCAACAACCAAAATAATTTCCTGAAAAAAAAACATTGTGAAATTAATTTTTACATATTTGAAATGATAAAAAAAATACATGTTTGACCAATGTGTTTAAAATGCACTTTTTAGATGTTTCTTCATTGGGTGACTCCACTTGCCATCCATGATTGCTGTTTAAAGGAACAGATGCGCCATATTGGGGGGTTACTTTGAGTCTTGAAAATATGTAAATAGTCTTCAGAAGTACTAGAAATGTACAAAAAAATAATTCCTTCAAAAATATAGATAGATGTCTTTTCTATATATGGCTGTGTCCCAACAAGAGAGGACTGTCTTTTTAACTTTCAAATCAGAAAATTCTGGACACATAGATTTGAAGGCTCAAATTTTGATGCTGAGCTATGAACTATTTTACTGATTGGCTTTGCTAAAATTTTACTTGGAAAATACGTTCATATCTTCAAAGAACTGTACTTTGTTATGACACTAATGCAACATGCAACTAACTTTAAGAGGACAGATAATGAATATGTAATTAGACTACTGATTTATACCTAAGAAAGAATATGATACCTGTATAGTCATGGCTGAACGTTTCTTCTCTATATTTTTCTTAATAATTTTGTTCTCTTTTTTTGCTCTTTTCATCTCTTGTTTTCCTATATTAAATTTCAATATAAAATTATGAAATATACAGGCAAATATCGGGGGGATTGAAGAAAGGTTTTCTAAATTTTTTATGTGTATTGGAGACACTGATAGTATCAATTTGCACAATTCCAATTTTCAATCAGACATCTGTGGTTCCTGCAATTCCACTACAACTTAGTGTTTGATGAGGCACTAATCACTCTTTACATACCCTTTGGTGAAAAAACTTTCAACAATTGAAATGCACATTAATTTTCATCATGTGTCATTTCAGAAACCCAAAAGTAGAGAACATACCCATTTGCCTTCGATGATTTTCCATTGGAGAGGAATTCAAAGCATTTTTGTTATCTTTCTTCCCCATTTCTTTAGTAGATGTATTAAATTTTGGTGGGCTTAGTCTCAAAATAATGGTTACCGGTACTTTATTAACTCATTTGAAGTCTTGTTGTTGAACTTGTTTAAAGACAGGGACCTAAAATTTATTAAATGAAAAAATTTAATTGAAAACTTTTGTGTTTAATTTATGTTTAAGATAAATGAAGTTTTCTCTAAATACAACAGATTTTTACACTGAAGGAGACTACAAACTTGAAGCAGGGCCTTCAACTTGATCAAAATAAGTATCCAATTCCATTTCCAATCAACTTTATAATTCAATTGATTTGAAATTTCTTGGCATTATTTAGAACATTAATGTAATTTCCATGCCATGGCATAAATATGACTTTTACAGTGCACTTTACTACTCGACCACTATTTCAGAAACATTTTCATTCACATAGAAATGATAAGAAAAGTGAGAACTGAAATTATCAAACTGTACAGTGATCGAACAGTGGCTCTTTTTCTCGCAGAAAATTGAGTGACAGTACACCATAATATCTGACCAATATCGTATGTTATCTTTGCCTTTCAAAAACACACTTTGGTACCGTTCTTATTAATTATTTCATTCAAATATATCCAAGATTTTCTTCTATTCGATTGTTTCTGCCAAGTTGTCATTATTGACTAGTTTGGATTCTACCATTATGTCTCATTCTTGAGGGGTGTAAAAAAAAAATACTGCAATTATTTCTAAAGCATTTTTATACTACATTTCCGATTAATAATTTTTGTAATTAGCATTGGAAATATTTAGTAAGAAATTATAATAATGTAACCAAAATGATAGTTGGCAAAAGAGGAAAATATATTAATAAACAACATAGATACCCCCCTTCAAATAATAGACTATTCAATGTAAACTTCCGATTCCGTACAGATTTAAGATTTGATCGACATCAGTACAGATTAAAAGTAGAAAGAATTGATACGAAAATTTGATATTTTCTTAAACTCTGTAAACTACCAAGTACACTAGGCCTACTAAAAACACAACGCATTGACTTCTGAATCAAATTTTTCTCATGTTAAAAAACTTGCCAGGCAAGTTCATGTATACGGCCACTGGCACTGGAAGCTTTGTTTTAAAACGGCATGTCGCCCAGAAATCTTCAGTTTCAGTCATACATTCATAGACAAGTGCTTGTATATAAATTTTTATTATTAAATGGATTGTAAAGAGGTTTTATACATTTTTTTTATGTGTATCGGGAACACTGATAGCATCATTCTGCACCATTACAATTTTCAATCTGATGTCTGTTGTTCCTGCAATTCCACTCAAACTAAGTGTTTGATTACATCACTAACCGCAAGATATTATGCTTTATAACATAAGGTCATTCGAGATTAGTATAATATATAACATAAATTGTAGATTTAATGTGTTCTGTTTAACCAATTTAAGGGCAATAACTTAACAAAGGCTCATCTAAAATTCGTCCAGGATCAAATCAATACAAATAAGCACACTAATTTCATTAAAACCAGATGTAATTACTGTATATTTTGTTGACAGACGAAGAGACGTGTTTGCGAAATAGGTCCAGCAGCGTCCAGCTTAATTGATAAGGAATAAAAATCAGACCCCCCCCCCCCCCCCTCCCCAACATCCCAAAAGAGGGCTTAACCCGGACTCATTTGATCGACCTATGCAAATTACATTTTAGGTCTCAATAAACATTTTCGTCTTCAGGCTCATAATCATATAAATCTGTTGAGATTAGGCTTAAGCTATATTTTTATGCAGATGAAAGTTAATCCTTAGAGACTGATGAACTAATTATCAAGTAGGATTTAATTAGCACTAGGCTAAATACTTCCCCTGCTGCCGAATTGTCTACTGACAGCTCAATCAAAATCGTTTACAGGTAAAATTCCCACAGAAACTAACTCTATGTGGAATGCCATATGACACCTCAACTTTGATAAAATAGAAAAAAATTGAATTTTATGCTTTACTTTTGCCTTGCCTTGTTATTAGCCACGTTACGATTTTATTTTCAAATCATATCATAGTTGCAATGCTCATCATTACTGGCACCGATTCCATCATGATTTTTGATGATTGTGGTTTCAGTTACAGGAATATTGTTTCAGATCAGAGAGTGCCAGAATTATTCTATCAGGAATTTGAAACTGAGTTACTTTTTAAACGTTCGGAAAGACCAATTTCTAGAATAAGACCCAATTCTGTGTTAAACAGTTTGTTACATAGCATTCGAAGCTATCCACTTTTAGGTCGACTTAAACCTTGTTTTTATCCACGTGAACATTTAGTAACCTCAGTTAGTCGAAGAAGTCGAACACTAGATGAAAGAAGAGCTAAGAGTTTCTTATCGGTAAATATTCTGGAAATGTTTTTTCATAAACTGAACATAGGATTTTTGTATGATAGCCATCTTCATAGTAGGGCGCACTCAGACTTCAAGTGACTGGCCCCTCTGCCTCCCCCCTAACCCTAACCCTAACCCCCCCCTCCCCCCCTTTGGCTTCGCCACTGACGGCACTCAGTTAAATATGAGTATCACAATTGAAAAAGCGCGCATTATGATATCGACGACTTGTTTTGTTACTACCGCCTTACAGTTATATATCCGAAGAGCTACAATAATAAATCATAAATCAATGATATCTTGTTGTTATCTTTTAGAGTTGTGTTAGATCAATATTAGCTGATTTAGCAACAATAAGAATAGATGATGATATTGAAAGTTCGTTAAAATATGGGCAGTTAATGGATGAATCAATTCTTCAGGTGAGATATATCATATATTTAAGTTAATACATTGTAATTGAGGCGTTAGTCATAAAAAGCTCAAACAAGAGCAAACAGGCACAAAAATATGAATAACATGGACTATAATGGGAGCATCTCATTACTTCCAACATAAATTCAATGATTTGGATCACTTTCATGCCGTTTGCCAAGACCTATTAATTACATCTTGGGAGAATCTCACTCACAGGCAATTAGGAAAGGATTAACACCTGTAGTGTAGTATAGTAGTTTTGTTAGGGGTGTGAGCAGGTTAACGAAACTACTGTAATCAGACTGTAAACCGGCATTGCATTTGGAACATCAATGAATTCAATGGATTTATCTTGACAGTTATCATTGAATGTGTCAGAGGAGTGTCATGGACTGTCGTTTTGCTGACAATATACTCAAAACCTCATCAATTTCATAACATGTGAATCTTACCCCATTTTTGCCGATTTCTTTGAAGCACATAGTGAGCAATCGCTCCGCTCGATCGATATTATATATATTTCATGTTTTCTGTGCATATATTTACCGTTTTGCACATGCGATTGTTTACACTTGTTTATGCTTATTTGCACTTATTAGTCGGACCGGTCACCGGTATTATGATGACCAGAGCATATATTATAGCCTAATCTAAGGGACTTTGCGATAATGAAAAGAAAAGTAGATTGACTGGAAATAGAATTCGTGCAAATTGATGCAATCCGTGTCTCCGATACCGTATACATAAAAAGATTAGAAAAACCTCTTTATAATCCCTTCAATTAATATATCAATTGATTTTATTATTGCGTGTTCAATTTGTTTGTAAACGCTCAAGAATCTACAGGTTTTGCCCGATTCTGATAGGTTAATATTATGAGAGAAATTATCACTGTTTTATGAAACACTTATCATTTTGTAACTCGTAGGCATTCTAAAAAGGAATTTTAAGCGAGTTCGATAAAATTTCTAAAACTGTTTATCCTATATAGGTGATGCTATTGAATCCAATGTTAGATAGAGAACAAGATAAATGGATTGTAAGAGATGCTATATTTCAACATGTTAATTATCAGATTGGTGCTGCAAGAAGGTAAGCTATCTTTCTGTTTCTACGAAATCTTTCATTTTTCTGGATAATATTTGACATATTGACCAAGGATGATCTTTTTGATAAACCGGATTAATGGAATTAAATGTTTTATTTACTAGCAGATACAGGCTGGTCACCTTGAGATGACATTGACCTTGTTACTAGCAGAATTTGAGAGCAACTTTAGTGTAGATTTTCATGAACTGGCGGCATCGAGAATAATCTTATCAACCTCTGTATTTTGTTCACCTCGGAAACTAAAAAATCACCCATGTTCTAATTTGTGTTCGATCCTAGCGGTCTTGAGATCCCGAACGCCAGTCAATGGAGCTAACTTCCGAACATGTCTTGCTATACGGGCTTGTTAGCCTGATTGATGAAAATATTTTCTATACGTGGTTATTTTACAGGAGACAAAGACAGAACAGTTTTCCAGAATATTCTTCAACTTATACAAGTATGGCCCATTCTCGGTTAGTTAATTTAAATCCTATTAGTCTATTATTCAAATTCAATGTCAACGCAGGACGATAGACATAATAAATTTGTCCCCATCTACATGAACGTAATGGGAAACTTTCTCCGTTTCCCATAGGCATATGACATATTATTCCATCTTCTGTTGTTCAGAATACGTGTACATATTTTTTCAAATTGCTTGAGAGAGGAGACTGATTTGTGTTCCGTTTTTAAATACTATAAAAAGTCTGTAAGCTTAAAGATACGAGATTTCCCTTTTCATTTCAGTGATACTGTGGAAGATCACGAAGACTTTCAAGTTGTTCCAGATATTGATGATGAATCCTGAGCATCACGCGAATATGTGTCATCGGCGAACATTCTATATCGACCGCGACGGAGCGAAGGTCGAACCCACGAGATATGGGATTTATACTGAAAAGGCTTCTTAAGTACTAAGAGAACTTTTATCCAGACTCCATTTCGCAAAAGAGACATCATTGTAGGTTCACCAGGATCTGTTATTCGAGAAGGTTAGACGTACTGTTATCCTGAACGTGGACAAGGTGTTTCCAACTCCTTCTGATAATGCAGTATGCTGCGGTATATACGTTGCTTGTAGAAACCCAGCTGTAAAACCCACGGAATTATGTATTATATAATGCACCCAGAGTTGTTCCAAAATTGAGATCACAAACGAAATCCAGTGAGCGTAGTAATGCTAATATACTAATTCTTATAAGAAAGTTATAGTGCATAAAAGCATGAATACTGCTTGCAACTGTATTGTGCTTCCACCAAAGTATCTAAGCCTTACATATCCCTTATAGCTGTGCATTTTTTGATAGTCAAAATGGAAGCTATGAATAAAACAGTGTCTAAATCAAAACTCGTACCTTGTGATATAACCTTACTGATTTTACTGGAATCTGACCAGAAACTAATATCACATCTGTGAATATCGGATTGCTTAAAAATTTGTTCTCAAGTGCCACAGATTTCACTTGATTTTCAAAGCCTGATCATTTAAGCAATGAAGGACGGACTTCAGCAGATCATTCAATTTGGCACCTTGCTTAATGCAGTCATATCTGCAGTGGGTCTTAGTCTAATTTATAATAGAAATAAAAGCTAATAGAAAATGGAGCTAAAGTTTGGTCAGGTTGACTCTTTGACATGCTACGATTTACAAAGTCGCAGAATACTTTAAGTAGGTTTCTTTTCACAAACAAAATGTGGATGGACAACAAAAATGGGGGCTTATAAAAATAAGGTTATCAATATGGTAATTTTATTACAAAAAATAAGCTAAATTAAAAAATAATATGAACAAATATTACACACCATTAGGCCTTAATCTATTTGAAAACAATCAAAATGCATACCAATGTGCCAATTTTCATTGCATATTTTGATATAAATATAACACCAGTATAAACCTGAATGTTATGGTGAAAACATTTCCAAATTCAAACGATTCCAAAAAGGTCTGGTTTATTTTATAGATGTTTTGTTTTTTTGTAGCATATCTTAAAGATTAGAGACATCATCAAACACTTAGTTTGAGTTGAATTGAGGAACCACAGATGTCTGATTGAAAATTGGAATGATGTAAATTGATACTATCAGTGTCCCCAATACACATACAAAATGTAGAAAACCCCTTAACAATCCCTTTAACATCAGTATACAGTACTGAGTAAATTAGTATGCGTTTCACCATATAGTGCTTAAAGAGAATTATTGTCAAAATGTGCTATGGAATTTTTGGTTTGATGAAAGCTTGGAGTAATGACCGACATTACTCCAAGATGAAAGTAAACAAAATTTGGCTTTTGTTTTTACAGCATAACAAGTGTCAGTTTTATTTAAGTTTTCTAAATTCTTACAAATTTAAAAGCTATACATGAACACAATTTGATAAGTGAAAAGCACATACAAATTAACAGAAAATAACAATGTGTAAGATTTTGATACACAAATAGAAAAAAAAAGAAAGATATATCACAGACTCACTCTACTATTCAGAGTAAAGATATGTCTTCACATCCAGGCCCCATTAAAAAGTGTTTTTTAAGTAGTGTAGGATATAGTGGACAGAATAAGTCTGGCTTGTTAAGAATCATTTAATATTAATTCTAACTAATAGATAAGGTGGAATTTTATAGGGCCTCGTGTTTACGCTTTGAATTGAATCCAGATGAGAAAAAATGTCATTGCTTGACTATAACCTTCTTCACAGAGTGATATAATATTTACATGATATACAGATCGATATATAGATAATATGACAATATCTTTAGTAATACAATTATAAAAACTTTTTTTTGAATTTATTCTATATTTTTTAAGAGGATTATCAGCCTTAAAATAGTACTGTTAGTCTTAGAATGTCTTTGCATTGATAAAAAAAATTATAATTAGTAAGTTTACATTAAAAAGAAACACATTTCTCACCTAGAAATTTCTACTGAATAAAGTCACAAAATTTGCCTAAAAATTGTCCTCTGTGAAAAGGACATACGCAAAGACATTCTAAGACTAACAGTAATATTTTGAGGCTGCTATTCCAATTCTCATAAAAATAGTGGGACAAATTCAAAAACTGTTTACTTTGCTCAGATAATAGATCTAATAAGTATGTATTACCATTTTGACAATATGCTTGGATAGTTTGTTTCATTAAACATTTCTCTCATCTCTTGTAACTATAATATTATTATAACATTCACCACATCTGGACAACCTGTTCATTAAAGGAACAGGTTTAATATTTTGGGGGGTTGATTTTACCTGTACCTTTAAAATTATGATATTCTTAAAGTGATATAGTCATCTAAATATTTGTATTACATGCTGATAGAGCTCAATATAAGCTTTTGGTTTTGGTTTTTATTTTATAACTAATCCTTCCTCTATACAAGCACAGTTTTTCCATTAATTTTCTCATGTGCAATAATTACAAATATTTTGACATTAGCAAAACAGTGTCCATAAATATTAATAATCATCTTGACATATAATCAGTCCAAACTTTCAGGGTATTTTGATGAGAACATGATGATAATTTTCATTTAAAAAGTGATACAGATAGTTGGAATAAAGCTGGTACAGTATCCGTTCAGTTTAATTAAAATAAGATCCAACTTTCATTTCATTTTTTTAATAAGTTTTTATTTTTAGTATAGCCTCAGAGTAGGGTCTAAGACTGGATATTTGAACAAATGTCAAAATAACCTTTTGTCAACAATGGATTTCTCGATCAGGAATAAAAAGCACTTCATAAATGAGATTCAATAAATTTTCAGCTGAGTTTTAAATCATAGTCTGGATTTGATCCTATGTCAACTCAAAATTGTTCATATGTTTAAGATATGAGCTGTTTCGGAATTAGAGACATCATCTGCACTGATTTCTTTATAAGACATTCGTACAGCCTGGGCATTGTCCCTTAATAATTTCATCTTATTGAAATGTCGCTTCACAAAAACATAGACAATAAAACTGAAGACTAGTGACAGCATCACTCCACCTACTATCCCTATCACCAGCACTTTAACACTACTATAGTTGGGAGATTCATTCCCAGGTTTGTCTTTAATAAACAGTGAATGAGGTTTATTACATCTGCTATGTACACAACAACACAATTCTTCTGTTACATTGTCAGAAAAAGTAATCTGTAAAGAAAATATAAACTGTTACTTCCAATCCTTTGCCTGATAATAGAAACTATTGTCTTTAGAATGCTTTAAGACCAACTCAGGTACTGAAATAAATTGGTAACCTTATCATGGACCTTAAATGTCACATTGAACTATCTTGATATATGGAGTATGATTTTATATTATTATATTAAATGTTGAATACATGTTCTGAGTGAAATACATTTCAAAATGACTGTATTATTTTTGGGAGGAATTGATTTTAGAAGAAATCTTTCTTCGGCGAAGAATGATTTCACTGAGGTTAAGAAGCACTGAGTTAAAGTATGAAAATGGTATCTCGTCTATGCTGGAATTAAACCCTCGAATTAATGGTGATGATTAATGGTGAACAAGCATTGAAATAATTAAGGCACACACTTTAAATTGTGTTTACTTACATTTTTACACTTTTCATATGAACCAACAAATTTTGTAATACCACTATCCAGACATCGTTGATTATCACAGTAATATGCCTTTCTGACCTGGTCACCAATAATAATAGTTGATACAGCACATACATCATCAGGGTCTTTACAAGACACTATCTTGCCTAGAAAATATAAGATGGAGAAAAACATCACAAAATAATAATTCACCAACGAAATTGACAGTATCAGTAAACAATTAACCTGAACACAAGGCAGCACCCTTCTTTTCAGATTATCATGTTACTTTCCCCAAAAAATCATCTAATCTCAAGATCAATATTTTTAAGTCCCATCATCCTTACCATGTTAAATGGCGTGAAAAAGACTGTTTATTAAAGGAATGAGCACAAGATAGTATCTGTCCAATTTGAAATTATTGCACCAAGTCCAACATGTTTAGTGAAAATTGTGAACAAATTTCACAATCATCACACTAATCCTTGCAAAAACAAACAAAGCAAATATGAAAACATTTTGTCTTAAAATTATATTATTGTCCTGTTATTTGACGTTTCGGCTTACTGCCTTCTTCCCTTTTTGGGAATTTGTGATATAATTTAATTTTGTCTTAAATTGTCAATTTTTGTCAAATTGACACTCATTATTTGCTGTTTTCTGTTTTGACTCACAGACTGTAGTTTGGATAGATCTATATTTGCCCTTTTTCCTCGTGGTACAAGAAAGATTTCAAAAAAAGAAAACTGTTTATTTTTTCATTAGAAATCTACAGAGATTTTACCCCATAGTGTTCCTGAAAACAGATTTCATTGTAAAATACATACAGAAACATTGATGTAGGCTACTTACTATCTTGAGTATTATTACCATTATAACATAATAATGGCGCTACAATAGCAACATCTGATGGTTTATTACATTCATCTTTATCAGAGCAACAAAATAATTTACCAGGTTCTCCATTTAAAGTCACCTTAAAAGACATAGAAATATTTTCAATAACATTGATTTGATTTTTCACTGTCATACCACATATTTCTACAGTGTTTCACTTCAGTGGTTAACCTTGTATTTGGGACTGAGGTATTATACTCGTGTCACATGATTTTCAAATTGGTTAAACAGCTACAAAATATAGTTTGTCTTATAAAATCAGTGTGGAGACAAGTACGAAACTTGTTATGTTATGAGTTTTGGCAACCCTTCTCATAAAGGAAAGGTCATTTTGATATGGTTAAAATTCCTTGCCTTATATGAAACTACTTGGATAAAGTAACCCATGGTCCCATCTATTTCTTGATAAGGGGGGCAAAAAATGAAGAATATAGAAGGATATAGAATATATCTTTTTTTTTTTTAAATAAAATTTATAGAAACTTGTCTTTATATCTTACATTCAATAAAGCACCATCCTCTTTACAGAGAGAGTTATGATCGCAGGAAAAATTAGCATTTTTCTGAGTATGAACATAAGACAAATCATGACTTTCTGATATTGAATATTCAAATCTGTAACAAAAAGTAGTTGATGTGTCATTTGAATCCCTCTTCTTCTTATTTGTGGAGATCATATTGTCCATAGCAGATGATGGGTCATTTTCAAAATCTTTTTTTCTGTTAACAAAATTTTTAGATGGAGTCTGTTTCCCAGTTGAACATTCTTCTACGTATGGTGCTCGTATCGTATCCATATCACCATGTCTGCAGTATTTCAATCCAGACATGCTGAAATACAAAGTTGATAAACTTAATTTGAAATGCGAAAAAAATAAAGTCATTCATAACAATATTGTATTCATTTAAATAGGCCAAGGCCTTCCAGGTCACTAAATAAACCATATCATACAATATGATAATGTGATTTGGAAAAAAATTGTTGTACTGTTATGTCAATGCCCTGGCAAAATCAATCCATGCATACTGTATAGAATTCATAGAAGACAACTAGACCTACTGTGGCCCCTTCTCAGTTCCTGGTTGGGCCTGTAATTTCATACAGTTCACAACAAGGGAAATTATATCAGGACAACCCTAGCCAACCCTTATCACTGTTTAAACAGGAAGGTATTTGCTTCCATCCAAAAGATCATCTACCCAAAGTTTCCCATTATGTCAGCTCTTGTTATCTACAATTCTAATGAAATGAATAGAATAACCAGATTGAAAAATTTAAAGGAAGGGCAAAAACCTCGTAGCTCTGCCCTTTTAGTTTTGAGCTGTGTTAGGTTGGGATTGCTTAGATTCCAGTACCTGTGACGATGACAATCAGTGAAAGATACCTACTGATTTATGAATAATGGCAAAAGCAGTAAAATCTTCAACATTTTAATTTTGACTTGAATAAAGAAACTTTATGAAGTGTTCCAATGTTTACATCTTCATGTAGGCTACCCTAGACTTACATTTAAAAACAAAACGAAATGTAAGAAATAACACTTTATTAGAAAATATTACGATCCTTTTTTTTCTACAGATAACCATAGATCTATAGATTTTAAGAATGCTTCCTTTGATCCTATTATATTAAAAAATAAGGTTGCAAAATGACACTTGTAACTATGCGTTTCTTAAACAAAACAATTACAATTTTAAACGATTGTTCTTATAGTTCTGTACATCCAGGCGGGATTCTTCTGTTTTCATAAAGCGTCTAAATGATCAAGATCAAGATAATATGAAGGGGCGTAATTCTGAAACTGAAACTGTTGCAGGCTGAAGTGCAAACTTAATAAATTATGGCTGAAAAATGTCAATCCGATGACTCTGAAACTGATGACAGAAATCTAGAGGAATCACATACAGGTTCTGAAAGAAACTGCTGTAGTTCGAATGCAGAGTCACCAGCATCATCTTCAAATTCAACTGCAAACGTAAGTTTGTTTTCAGACAACAACTAATTCCCCCATGCCATGCTCCCAACAAAACTATCTCCTTATATTTACAAAAAGTAAGAATTTTTTTCTGAAAACTTCACATATCAATTTTCTTATACCTCAATTTCAATCTCAATCAGTTGGTGATCATCAAATGCCATATTGCCATAACCCATGCTCGCCGACCACAATTGCTCGTAAACACTCTACACAATTCTTGACAGATTTTGACAAAGCTTGGTATGAGTGTTAGTTATCACCCAAGGATGAAACCTATCAAAAAACAGAAGAATCTAAAAATATTAAGTATAAGTTACTGCCCCTGTTCTTGAGAATGCGTTCAATTTTTAGCTCCTAAACAATCTAGAAGGCACAATTCTTGACGGATTTCGACGAAACTTGGCATGAGTATTGTTATCACCCAAGGATATACCCAATTGAATATCAGAAAAATCGAAAAATATTTAGTATGAGTTATTGAGAACACGTTCAATTTTTATCGCGTAGACACTCTAGAAGGCACAACTCTTGACAGATTTTGACGAAACTTGGGGAAACTGTTTATTATCTCCCATGGATGAACCATCAAAATCTAAAAATTCAAAAATGTTTCATAGTAGTTATTGACCTCCTTGAAAACACTTTCAAGTTTTAGCTCTTAAACACTAAAAGGCATGATTCTTGCCTGATTTTGACAAAACTTGGTTTTGTTATTCAGTACCGCACTGAAGGTTGAATATTTTCACGAGCTAAAAATTGTACACGTTTTTTAACAACAAGGGCAATAAATCATACTCAATATTATTCAGTATCGCCCCAAAGAATGTATGACTGAAGGTTGAATATTTCATACTGGTGATTGTTACTGTACTGCCAAATATTCAAAATCAAAGCTGCCAGTGGGCATATATTACCTTGCCTGGCAAGCTATCTTATATCTAAACAAGAGGCATCTAGTCTGGGGTCTACATTAACATTTTTTACATTAACTCTGGTCGGACTAGTGGGGAAAAAAATGACTAGCCCTCACCCAACTTTTACTTACCCAGACCTTTTCATATTAGTGTATGTAATCACCCAAGGATGAACCTTATTGAAAATCAGTATAAGTTATTGCATTTGTTCTTGAAAACGCATTCAATTTTTAGCTCGTAAAAGCTATCATATATCTAATCAAGAGGCATCTAGGTCTGGGGTCTACATTAACATGTTTTACATTAACTCTGGTCGGACTAGTGGGGGAAAAAATGACTACCCCTCAACCATTAAAAGCAGACAATGTTGTAATGCATATAATACGAATTACGAAATTTTTCCTCCATTGACCTCTCTTGACCTCTTGAAAAGAAAAAGATTTAATTGGAAGGTTGCAATAAATTTCAACATTACATAACATCAATTTCAGCCATCAAAAGCATCAGAGAGAACAAATGGAGAAAAGAGGAAAGATTTCTCCCATCCAGTGTATAAAAATATCTCACAGTTTAATGGTCAAGTAAATAAAATGAAGAGAAATGAAGTTATTAATAGATTAAAGAAATACAGCATGGATACTCAGTAAGTTAATGGTGTATATTTTGAACTCTCTTCAGTACAAACCAATAGACCTTATTGAATTTTGACTCTAATATTAAAGGAGTTCTGTGTCTCAGGCAACACATGATATGCTCCCACTTTTCTGATGCCATCATTCTTTTCAGTACTTTTTATTTGGTACATTTTTTGTTGTTGCAGTAATGTACTGTTTGAAAACCTTTCAATCAACAAAATAAACTAGGCACAAAAAACATTTTGAATTTGTTTTTTTCTCACATGTCCATAATTAATTCATAATTAGCAGAATTCAAATGAGTGACCGGTCAAGAAAGGTTAAAAAAGTATTTTTTTGTTTATCCAGACTGTACATACATTGACATTTATGATTGGTTAAAACTCTTAATTACATGCAATATGAGAAAATAATGATATGATTGAGAATACAGTGCAATTCATTAGAAAATTAGTTTTCTTAATTTGACTCTAAATAATAAGGGGAACCCATCTTTAAAAGGATGACTCGTCTTTTCTTCAGATTCCACCATATAGATTCCTAGTTTGAGATATTTTTGAAGGAATTTTGTAATTTTCATACATTTCTAGTACTGTACTTCTGAAGATTATTTACATATATTCAAGACCCAAATCAACCCCTAAAAATGACTGTTCACATTTAAAAGCTTACTAATTTTTAATTTTTTATTCCTTGCAGTGGTGAAACAGAAATTTTAAAAAGAAGATTAAAGAATTGTTATAGAAAAAGGAAATTAAAAGAGACCGGTGTTGGTGAAAATAAAACTCCTATATTAGACTATATTATTATCATTGACTATGAAGCAACGTGTGAAGCTCATACTATGGACTATAGACACGAGATTATAGAATTTCCTGCTATTTTAATGAATGTTTCTGATGGTTCCATGGTAAGACATATTTTATGAAATCTTTTGTTGACCATAAGAGAAACCTCCATTCTCTTGCAATAATCAAGGGGCTATTTTCAGCAAGAGTTATCGTATTAAAATATTGATTGTCACACATTTTTTCAGAGGATTTAAAGGAATTGTAAAGAGGTTTTCTAAATTTTGTATGCGTATACACATACATAATTTAGATAACCTCTTTACAATTCTTTTAAATATTTAACATTTAAGCTCTTAAATTTATGTAAAATTGGTCACACTCCAGAAAAAAGTTATGGAGCTTCTTGATCTAATTTAGCTAATTATGAATTAATTTTATTTTTCTTATTCATTAGACCACCTCTACTTTCTATTCATATAAGTATTAGCATTTTCATTTTCATAAATGAAAATAAGGGAATCCCAGCTTTAAGGTGTGGAAAATGATGGTTTTACTAATGATTATTGTTTACTCATAATAAGTGTAATTCGACTTAATATGTAGCTTTCACATACTGGTATTAAAATTAAGTGTTACCAATGAATAGTCAATATTTGTTTAGAAATTGAACCTAAATTGCCTTCATTACTTTTTTCAAGGTTTCTGAATTTCGAAGTTATTGTAAACCTATAGAAAATCCTAAATTAACTAGATTCTGTACTGGTTTAACAGGTATCACTCAGGTAAGACTTGCAGCTTTTTGTTAATTATTCACTTTTCCAGGATATTTAAAGAACTTTTTAAATCCTGTTTTGAAGAATTATTTGAAAACTGACCATTTGATCCAGTAGGCCCATATTCTCATCACTAAATTTGATTGGTCAAAAATTCTCAACTAAAGAGATATGTGCAAAATTGACTTAGTAGAGGTGATCAATTATCATGTATTGTAACATATTTTGACCAAGAATAGCGTGTCTTTCATTTTTTTTGAAGCAATTAAGCATGAAAGTTTCATGCTAACCAATTTCTAGATCAACTATCCAATAGTCAATAGCCCATGATTGTGGTTGGGTATCGATTTCCTAATTGAGAAATCGATTATCGATGGATGGCTATTGATCAATAATCAATTAATAATCACAAATCCCTGTAAGTACTAAATTAAAAAAAAAAATTCTTAATTAATTCTTAATTCATGGGTTATATTTTTTGCATCATAGTAGTATATTATTGCTTTTGATAAGTTATTATAGTTTATTGTGGGTAAGTTATGTGCTGAAGGGAATCTATGTGGAAGAGATTACTACTTGTTACATATAATTGATTATGAAATTTGACGATTGAAGTTATAAATTCCTAGCAACGATAATTTATTATTTCGATCATTTTACCCAGCCCTATAATATGAGTGTATGAAGTTAATAATGTTAAATGATGTCACTTGTTGATGGCTTCTCCTGGTTTGTATCATGTTATCGTGTTGTCAGTAGAGGGCTCACTAGTGTTGAAAAGGTACAACCAATAGAAATGAATTCTTTGTTTTATTAGGAACAAGTAGATAAAGCTGAAGAATTTCCAGTAGTTTTAGAAAATTTTGAAAAATGGTTAACTTCCCATAAGTTAGGGGTTAAACGAGGTTTTAAATTTGCAGTAGCCACTGATGGGTATGTTTGTATTATTATATATGTGATAAGACTCTGAATTAGAAGCTGATGTCACATCACATTTCGTCTGGAATTATTTTTTTCCTTGAGACTCCCAATAATTAATTTAGGAGCATTTTCCAAAGCTGTAATTCAAGCCTTCTTAAAATCCAATCCTAATTGTTTTGTTGAATGAGAAAAATGGCAGGCAATCAAATTTTCGTGATGCAAGCTCACAAAGTATTGACCAAAATTTGCTTCACCTATGCTGGCCCTGTTAAGACCTCGTAACCAGATGTTGGATTTTGTACGCCCACATGAAATATTGTACAGATGCTTGTAAACACTCTTGAAGGCACATTTTTGACGAAACTTGGTAATTTTGTTTGTAATCACCCACGGATGAACCATAATGAAAATCAGAAAAAAAAAAAAATATTTAGTATGAGTTCTCGTTCTTGTTCTATTTTTAGCTAGATTTTGACGAAATTTGGTGAAATTGTTTATTATCACCCATGGATGAACCCTCTTCAAAATCAAAAAATATTTTATATGAGTTATTGATCTTCTTGAAAACGCTTTTGATTTTTAGCTCGTAAACACTTTAAAGGTACAATTTTTGCTGGATTTTGATGAAACTTATATTATTCATAATCGCCCAAAAAAGTCAGAAAGAAGTGTATGTATGTTAAATATTTCATTCTGGTGATTGTTATTGTACTGCCAAATATTTTGATTTAAAATCAAAGCTGCCAGTGGGAGTATGTTACCTTGCCTTGCAATTAAATATTACATCCTTATAGAGCTAAATCAATGAGAGATGTTTTAAGAATTTCCAAACAAGCCATCAAGGTTATGTATTATATGAAATGTCTGTGGCAAGAGAGTATTTTAGTATCTATATCAAATTAACTTGAAATGAAATGAATGGGGTTTTACTTTTCTGCTCCATGTGGGTTAATGAAGACCGGATCAAATTAATTTGGAGTTGATTTATATCTCTATTTTTTCAGTCCATGGGATATGAGAAGATTTCTTTTTTATCAATGTCAAATGTTGGACATGCCTTTTCCAAAATGGGCAAAAAAGTGGGTTAACTTACGGAAACTTTTTGCAAACTTTTATCGACGTGAGCGCGGAAATATAGAGAATATGTTACGCCATCTTGGATTGGAATTTGAAGGAAGGCAGCATTGTGGTATGGATGACACACGTAATATTGCCAGAATCGCACAAAGGTTAATTAAAGATGGATGCTTTATAGATGTTAATGAAGGATTTTCTGGGAATGAGAAAGGAAAAATTCAGGAAATCAAACCTGAGAAAAATCATGCTCCTGTGGACTTCCCTGAACCTAAACCTGTTAATATTAAAAGTGAGGAAGAGAAACGGAAAGACGTGGAAGTGAGAGAAGCTCTTCGGAAATTACAATTGAAGGAGGATGATGAACTTGCAGCTTTTTATAAATCTATTAATAAATATTAATCAAACCATCTTAGTCTTTTTTCACTGTACACATTTTCAGCTTTAATGCTCAAGTAATGATTTGTTATGAATCATGTTATATCCCCTGTAATCCATATGCACTAAAGAAATGGAATTCTATTCCATATTCATAGTTACCCTTTTAGCACTGAAAAATAGATAAAATGCGACCATCATTTTGTCTGCTTCTCAATTATTTTATAGAGCTTTTGCACACAACTATTGAATTATGAAATCATTGATTGTGAGGTTAAAAGGGGTCAGCCCACAACATACAGTATAGTCAATATGAATAGTTTTACCAAGTAAACAAATTTTTGTGACAGTAGTTGGTTTACTTACTTAGTGTAGAGGGTTGCTAGCCTCCTGAGAGCCGGTAGACACAAACTGTGTTTCAAAACTGTCTGAGGAATTGAGGTGTTTGAGGTATTACAAAACTGTATGAGGAATTGAGGTGTTTGAGGTATTACATAACTGTATGAGGAATTGAAGTGTTACAAAACTGTATGTGGAATTGAGGGAATTGCAAAACTGTTTGAGAAATTGAGGTATTACAAAACTGTCTGAGGAATTGAAGTATTACAAAACTGTTTGAGGTATTAGAAAACTGTCTGAGGAATTGAGGTATTACATAACTGTTTGAGGGATTGAGGTATTACAAAACTGTCTGAGGAATTGAAGTTTTACAAAACTGTTTGAGGTATTTATTACAAAACTGTCTGAGGAATTGAAGTATTGCAAAACTGTCTGAGGAATTGAAGTGTTAAAAAAACTGTATGAGGAATTGGGGTATTACAAAACTGTTAGAGGTATTACAGAACTGTCTGAGGAATTAAGGTATACA